GATTTTGTCAGTGAAGGTGTGAGCTTCGTGTTTCTGAGGATGAACCACCACCCCTCCTTGTGTGCCCCTCCCCAAGCTTGCTGTCAGTTCTGTCTCTAGTTCTGGAGGAAATGGCAGTGCACACGGTGACAGCTGAGGTGTGCTGCTGAGGGATATGTGATATATGTTAACTGTGAGAGTGCTGGTCAGAACAACTGCTCCCTTCCACCATCTCCACCTCAAACATACCTTCCTCAAGCATTGAAAGTAGTAGGTTCTTTTTCCCCAAAGTCTGGAGACCTAGTAGCTAAATCCTGAGAAGAAGTAATTACCATCAGAGTTCTTCATAGCCCTACACGTATTCACACTCCCATAGAGTCTGATATAAGATGTGATCTCCAACCCATCCTGTCTCCCCCAGCTGGTGGTGGGAGAAGAGGAGATGGGTGTTGAGTAGAAATCTGTATGATGCTCAGGAAGGGAAGAGGAAGACCCTTCAAATCTCCAAAACACCCTCCTTAGGACTTGGAGTAGCTACTGCTGAGACCCAAACATTTTGGATCTTAGGTCCAGTTAATTACTAGTTGGTTCCAAAATTCCTTTTCCATAATATTTCCCTTTCTTTGTCTGTCTTTGTTTCCATTATCTTTCCCAATTCTACCTCCCCAGTGTTGAATCTCCTGGACCTACAGAGCAGAGAATTGAGATGACTCTGGGTCTTTATCCCCTTGTTTTGTTCAGTGAGATCTTGAGGCATCTTCCCTTTGCTTTGCTGTTCCTTTGGGCTAGGTTATCTTTGGAGCCTCGATATCTTTGCCCCCAGCTCCAATCTTTGTGTCTGCATGTTTCTTTCACTGAAAGGGATTTCTTCCAAATTTGCCTTCCTATATTTGGGGGGCGGGTGTCTTTGTTTCTCTTAGGGCTCCTCCCTCTAGGTTTACCCCAGCGCAACAGTGAGGCCCTTGAGGTTTGGACAGGGGGAGCAGGGCTTCCTTCTTGCCCCCAGAGACAATTGCGAACCCAAGGATGGCCAGGCCGTGTCAGGGCCCGGGCAAGCCAGGTCACTTCTTATTCTGGGCACAGGCGCCTGGTCGATGCCCTGCTGTTCGTTCCCCCTTCCAAACTGCCCTCCTCTTGGCCCCCGCCCCCTGCGCCCGCCTGGAAAAGGCAAATTTGACATTTTTAAATCCCGAGCCTTAGAGGGATCGATGCGGCCTGAGGGCCCCGCCCGGGGTCGATATTCCTGATTGGGAAGCGGCCGCTGCGCAGAGCCCGCGTGTAAATCACCCGGGCTGGGGGAGGGAGCTCGGGGAGCCTACCGCGTCCCAGGCGCGCGGAGCTAGGTGCGGTCCGGGCCCGACCGGGACCTGAGGGTGACGGAATGAGAACCACAGCTTTAAAGAACCAGAGGGACGCTCGCCCAGGGCCTATCCCCTCCCCCGCATAGCCCTGCCAACTCCCCTGGCCGGCACCGGTCTCGCTTCAGCGGCCGCCACCCTTCGTTGCCCCTGGAGCCGCCGGGGAGGCCGGTGTCGAAGCCAGCCATGCGGCGGCTCCTCTCCGGCCGCTCCCGCGGGGCCCGGGCTTCGGCGGCGGCTGTCACGGAGCCGACAAGCAGGGCCGACCAGGAAGGGGCGGGTGGCGGGGGAGAGGCGGTGGGGGAGGCTGGCTCAGCTTTGGTGCTCAGTAGGTGCGCAACAGATGTTTGCGGAATTAAGGGATCACAAGGTGGCCTGGAACACCAAGGGACACGGGCCCGGAGCGAAAAGGAATGGGCGCGGTAGGAGGCGACCCAGGTCTAGTGAGGATGAAAGGCTGGCATACCGGCCAGGTTAAATAAGCGTTCTAGATCACCGGGGAGGTCTGGGTGCAAAGAGTTAGAGAAAATGGGGCTGTCAGGGAAGTTTAGGCGACACCTAGAAACGCTTCCTTCTCCCCTGACCTCCAATCCTTGTCTCCTTATGTGGGGAAATCGAGGCAGTCAAGGCCGAGAAGGTCCAGGAAGGGGAAAGCGGGACTACTGGCGAGGCTAGAGTAGTAACCAGAATTCCCTCGTGGGTCTCTAATCACCCGGCCAACCCAGATCCAGTTGCTGGTAAATACACCACCACGCCCCCCACCTCCACTCAGACCCTCGCCTCCCGCTTCAGCTTGTCAGATCCCCCTACCTCCCACCCCGCGCCAGTTTATAGAACAACAATTTGGGGAAAACAATCCGGGCCGAGTGACGGCCCCTTAATTGTGACAAAGTGAGTGCGGGCGGCTGGAGAGAGCGCTAGGGCGGGAGAGCGGTGGGGCGAGGCGCAGGCAGAAGCGCCTCTCACCCGCCCCGCCACCCCCTCGTTCTCATTCTGGTCACCTCCCATCCCTCTCCTTGACTCTTCTCCAATTCCTCTTCTCTCAGCCCCTCGCACCTCCCTTCACTTGTTCCTCCATCGCTCTTCCCTTTCCTTTCGGTAACAGATCTCCCGCTTCCCTTCCCCCGCCGCCCCTCCCCCGGTGCGCTGTTTCCTGGCTCACTTCAACCTCTTTCCTCCGCCCTCTACTCTTTTCTCCATCTTTTTCTCGCTCTCAGATTGCCCTTGGGCCCCAGTCTCTCCCAGCACAATCCGCTTCTCTCCCTCCCCTATCCTCACTTCCTGAGATGAACCCCAAGTTCCCCCTACCCCAACCCCGAGAGGCCAGCGCAGCCCTACACTCCTGGGTTCCTCGAGCAGCAGAGTTAGCTGCGCCCTGCGCCCAGGGTGCCTGGGCGGCCTCCCCCTTCCTTCCCCCTTCCGCAGCTACGGTCCCCACCCCTCTTCCTGCGCCGGGAGCTAGTTTGTTTGTCCAGCGGCTGCCGCTGCCGCCCGCGCTGTTTGCCAAGATTAGCGCGCCGCGGCGCAGTGCGGGCCCAATTAAGTCTCATTCATTATTCAGCGTCCAGTCCTCCCCCGCCCCCAGCGCGCGTCTGGGGCTTCACTTCTCGGTCCCTCCCAGTCGAGGTCCCTCGAAGAGCCCTGAGGGACCATATAGTGTCTCCCCGGGTAAAGGTTATAAGGACTAGGGGCGGGGGGAGGCAGGTGGGAGGGAACACAGCACTTTGCCTGCAGCTGGGAGGCGACCCGAGTGAGGCTTACAGGGCCCCGCCCTCCATCGAGTCAAAACTGGGAGATCTTAGAGATTGAAGCTCTCCCAGTTTCTTTTTCTTTCTTTCCTTCCTTCCTTCCTTCCTTCCTTTCTTTCTTTTCTTTTTCCTTTTTTTTTTTTTAACAGAGGAAGAAATTGAGGCCCTAGAAGCGTCATGATTTGTCAAGGTCACGGTTTCCTAACGCAGGAATGGAGCCCGGGTCACTGAAAGGAAGTCATTTCAGCTCCATTTAGGAGCAGAGGTGGAAGGAAGACCGATTACTTTTCCCCTGAGTCCTGGGCTGTGGCTTTGCTGACTTGCTGGGGCATTTCTGACCCTCTATTTTTGTCCTGATTCTCCCTCACCCATATCTAACTGGCGGGACAGAGTAACCTCGGGGCTCCCAGTGGATCCAGAGGCTTTTCGGGTTCAGGCCCAGGCTCAGGCCTTTACGTATAACCCCCTATCTGGAAGGCCTGAAGGCAGGGAGAAATTTTTGTGTGAGGGGGTCCTTCCTTCCAACCTATCAGTGGTTGTCTCTTGCCTTAGAGGAACTGGAGGTGGCAGTTCTTGAAAGGCAGCAGAGAGTGATTAGAGAAGTGTGCAGCCTGAGGTGAGGAAAGGGTCACTTTCCACTGTGAGGATAAGAAGATGCAATCAAAAGCCTGTTTTTTAGCACTACAGATGGAATCTCCTCCTTGCTCCAGAGCTCTGAGCTGCCTGCTGCACCCCAGCCTCGCGACAAGGTGAGTCTAGAATCCTCCCTGGCCCGCCCTTCCGTGAGCGGCACCGCCACCTGGCGGTCATAGCATGGTGCTGCAGGAAGCGCGCTCCAGCTGAGGTGGGGCGTGGGGCCAACCCCTAGAAGGCGGGGTGAGCCTGGAAACCTTCGACTGAGTGTAAGCGAGAGGGTGGAAGATAGGAGTGTAGGGCGGGCAGGTGATTTCGAGGGGGTTGGGACGGCCTTAGGGAGGGGCCTAATCCCAGACCTCCGACTTCCGTGACATAGAGGTCAGAGACAAAGTCCACTTGGATGGAAGTGGGAGCAGAATGAGARGGGCCATTTTGATTCTGTGGTTGAAGAAAATAGCTGATCTGACGCTGTCTGGGAGCCGGTTCGGCCAGG